GGATGTAACAGCAGACTGTAAGCTGCCGCTTGTAGCTGGCCAGGTTTTCGTGCATCGTGATGCGATGGGACCCTCAACACCACGTCTGTAGCAGCTAACCGGGGGCCTCGTCGTAGCCGCAGCCGTATTGTTGTCGCCAGAAGTCGAAGTTGATTGCTGCTTGTCACGCGAAGGGCTGAAACATTCATAAGATTTTTCAGAAGCATAACATTTTGTTGAAACCGTAATTAACCTAGGGAAATTGTTATCTCGCATGGCACTAGCAACGGTTTTGTTAATTCATGATATCTCCGCTTGCGGTAAGAATATGCCATAAGTTCACGTTGCATTTTACTGCGGGTAGTCATATCTTCAGAAAAAAATATTTCGTTGTAACTGTGGCTCAGCCTGCCCCATGTGTGCAAGTATTACAGATACCATAATCTCTTTCTTGTTTGTATTACCCCACCGTGACATCAGGGAAGAAAATAAACGGCTTGCATACGCAGCAAGGCATTCCATTCTAGAGGTTGACCAGAAAACATTTTTAAAACCGTCGCTGCGCTTGTTTCTTACGTTTCAAAATGAGAAAGAAAAATGTAATTAAATTCTGCCTACTTCATATTAGGAAAAGCTATTTGCGAAAACCATGACACGGCGAAACCTCTCATGGCCCTACTAAGTAAAAGAATAAGTTTACTTCCCTGTATATCATGATCCGTTAAGCAGATGTCCGTAGTTGCTAGCCAGGCTCGAGCGTCAGTGTCTGCGTTTTCAGGTTGAAATTCAGGCAGCGTAATATTCTTGACCTCGGTAGGCGGCGGGTTGCGTATCACGTCCACAAGTAGTTGTATGTTGTTTTGTTGCACTTCAAACATAGCTTGCAAGACGTCGTTGACCCCGGTTGAATCGTGCACATTTTGTGCCTGCACCGATCCCGCTTCTGATGTCGGAGAGCGGCTATTCACTTTGTCATTAGCGTTCACGGGCTTAGTGGGCGTCATTGGGGCTTGATACAGGCACAAAACCAAACAATCACTCAATCACTGTTCGTATAATTTTAATTACGTTCTTTTAACAAAAACAAAATAAAAATGTTTCACACACACTTTACTTTACACTAAGGACACTTAAATAACGTAACAACCGAGCAGTGGGTTCAAGGTACCAATCTGACTTCACTGAACTACCGTATCACTTTTCTAGTAATGAACCGCAACGATCAGTTCCTCGCGTTTTAAATACGTGCAAAAACTACCTCCCACCTGTGAAAATCAAGATGGCGCCTCGACCCCACTCGAGGCACGTGCTCTGCTCTGATTGGACGCGACATAAGATGATTTATAAGAGACTTTTATTAAATTGTTAAGTTACTGAACAATACAAAAATTGTAATTAATAAAATCAAATTAAATTAAGATTTTATAAAATTATTTAAAGTGTAAACAATAGTCTTTTCGCGATTGACATTCAACAAGAAACTCTACTCGTCACATAATCCGACATATTAATATATATTATAGCTACGTCTGTGACGGGCTGTAGGCTGACCTCAAATGTCTATTGAAACAATGACAGAATGACGCGTTAGTAAGCTAAGTATGGTGCGCGTAAGTTAAGTGATAACGAAACATTAAAATTAGTGCAATTATATGGCGAAAATGAATGTCTCTGGGATATTAAATCTTAAAATCCTGACAAAGAAATGCGCACAACAGCTTTGCAAAATATTGCTCAGCAATTGAATACCGAAGGACTCTCAACTACAAAATATATATATCCTGCTGTTCTTTCCGACTCATTTTTCCGTCCGTACTGACCTCAATAACGTGCGTACACCGTAAACAAATTATAACAACTACTGACTGTGTCTAAACAGTGCGGTCAGTTCTCGGCGCCAGCACGGACGCCATTTACTGACCCGTTACTTACCCAATATACAGTTTGTCTAGTCGTGACATGAATGTTTGAGGAACTAACATTATTCATGTGTCTGGCAACACCAAACTTATGTACATCAGCTGTCATCACTTTTACACTATGAAGTACTATTTTATCTAGAATAATTTTATTCTGATTCAATTAAATATGCTTAGCTAAACTTTTTATAAGCATAGGTACCTACTATTCAATTCATGAGCGATTTCCTGAGGCTCTCGTTTCGTGATGTAAAGGCTCAGTTTGTCTATAAAGTCGTGACATTTAATGATGGCGCCACTAGTATGTATGTAGCAACCCTATACAGTCGGACCAAAATGATTTTGATACTAGCAGTTCATTCAAGTAAAATAGATAATTAATAAGACACACTATACAGTCGTATTTTGTTTCTGTTTTATATTTAGTAGGTACCTATGCTTATAAAAAGTTTAGCCAAGCATATTTAATTGAATCAGAATAAAATTATTATAGATAAAATAGAACTTTATAGTATAAAAGTGTGTAATGTTGATGATTACCGCTGAGGTGCCATTGAGACCAGAGCCGTTAGGTAATCATCAATACACACAAGTATCATCATACGACGTTTTTTATTAAGAAAATAATACTATAAATCATTTTATAGTATATAAAAAGTTTCTTTAGAGAAACAATTTGTAAATGTGCAGTTAGTAAAATTAGTGATAGGTATCTTCACTAAAAGCATCTGGCCATGGTTCTTTATGTGACCATTTCTTTCTTTGGTCGGCCTTGCCTGTTTTCCGAGAAGTTTCAAACTTTCCAACATTCTTAAAACCTTCGTTGACTATCCGACTCTCTGATTTTCCTGAAAAAAGTAAAAAAATATGTAACGGAATAAAAACAATAACTTATTGACATGAAGCAATTAATTTAAAATTGGTAGAAAACCTGACCGAGTTGAACCATAATAACGTATCAAAAGAAATGGTCGTACTATAATATTACCTATTTACAAAGTCAATCTAACCTAAAAATGTGCAATGTAAAAAATGCCTTTTTTGGTCACAAATCGTAAATTGAGTAAATTTGTAACTTCAGGGAGATTACAAACAAATAGTTACACGATTACATACCCGTCATAGATGCTGTTCGCCCATAAACATCGTCCAAATCCCTCAAAATTCGTCCAGCTTGGTAGTCTTCGAAACATCGTTGGAAAACTTTAAAAATGACTTCCCGCGTGCCACTCCGACTTACTTTACTCATTTTTATACCTTTCTGCGTAGTTTCGACTTAATTTATTACAGTTAAATCCAAAAAATAAAAAATACAAAAGGAAAACTGTTCCACAACTGAAACTCGATGACAGCTGATGTACATTAGTTTGGTGTTGCCAGAGGGTGCGGCCAGAGTGCACTCAGATTCAGATTCCGAAAACAAGCACGAGAAATAAACAGTGTAGTCGGAAGGCTACGGCCAGAGTGCACTCCTGATTCAGATTCAGATTCAGACTCAGAAAACAAAGCGCGAGAAAAAGCAGGCAACCTGTTTGCGCTTGTTTTCAGAATCTGAATCTGAATCTGAGTGCACTCTGGCCGCACCCAGCCACATGAATAATGTTAGTTCCTCAAACATTAATGTCACGACTTTATAGACAAACTGTATCTTTGTCATTTTCTATACAGAATAGAGAAACTGATGTTAAAGGACATGGTTCGAATTGTATGACATGTAGTGCATAAGTTGTAAATCGTATGACAAAAAACTAGAATTTATTTTATCTGCATTTTTTAAAAATAATTATTGTAATTTACAGTTAATATTTAAATTTCTTATTGGCAAGTGGCAAGCAAATGGCAAGCAACAAAAAGTTGCCCAAGGAAAAATATTTTTGAATTGGTAACTGAAGCTGTGATAATCAAATTATTCTGTTCATTTTTTATAACATTATTAGGAAATTTGTGGGGATTTTATTATAAGAAGAATCTATTTATATATTGGCATCTATAAATAAGTTAACCGCGATTTCACGAGTATAGTGCGATTCAAATAAGAATAGGAAAGCTAATGACCTCCATTTGTCGAATGTCGCTTGAAAAGTACTGTTTGCAAAAAATCTTGGAACCCTTTTTTAGCACTCGGCTAATTCTAGAATAAAAACCTAACATATTTTGTAAACAAACAATAACAAATATTGATAATTAATATTGGTTGATATATTATTTTCATTTATTGAGCTTTGGCTATGAATGATTAAATCGTCAACCAAATGTCACTTTAAGCTGCGTCCAGAAACTCGATTTAAAACTTTCGTTTACATAAAGGATGCATGTTCGTATTAGTAATAGTGCATGATTATTTATAACTACTCCGGCGGTAAAGAAGAGATGAACAGAATTGAAGAGCTAGATTCTGATTAATATTTTTTTCTCACAGTCTTATTAAATTAATTTCATTTAAAAATCTGATGTTTTTTCTCACTTAATCTTAGTAAATAAGTTTTATTAAATAAAAAACGAGCGAGCCATCAAAAACTTTTTTGACTTAATAGTTCAAAAAATTTTTTGATGTGCAACATCTTTCCTCTCGCTTTCCTGCAACTTGTGGGAGTGATTTCGTGAAATGGGACGGAAGTGTGTAACAGGAAGTAGCGAAAGCGCGCGCTATTTGATTTGATTTTAAGACTACTGTAAGGCTCGCTCGTTTTTGCTCACTCTACCTATTTGGTTTGAATTGACAGCTATGATGTCACAATATGGCGCCCAGTCGGTCCTTTATAAAACAACTGCCACTTTTGAACCGTCTCTTTATTTTTCAGTTTACAGAATCGCACCGCAATTGACACCATACCATAGTCTATTGTTCCTTCACCCGGAGTGTAGCTACGGAACTTAGCGCTGTCTATGGTGACTTGGTTTGGTTATGGTGCTCTGCTGTCTCTCTCTGCTTGCCGTGCTCATTTCATTCGTTCTTGGTTCATTGTTGGTTGATGGAGTTTAGTGCGTAATAAATCAAAAATATTTGATTTCTTATACTCATTTTGTTTTGTGGAAAGATGATATGACGTTTTCTGTAATAACTAATTAATCTGCATGCATTATTATCCAAAGTGAGAAACCATGGCCAGTGCGTGTGGAAAGTTTTTGTGCCGATTTCTACCTCTCTTGGGTTGTCTCCTGCTGATAAATGTATTGAAATATGTAAGTTTTAACACTTGGTTTTTATGTCTTTATTTCGTAATAATTTCTTTTTGCGTACGAAAGGTGATTGCTTTCGAATGACTTGATTCGTTTTTTCTGAAATTTATGTACCCTCGATTAAAGCCTACTTACTGCCTACAAACAGAATGAAATCTCCGTGATTAGTGTACAATGTCAAAGTACCATCAAAACTGCCCTTCAATATTTTAAGATTTAAACAAAGACAATTGTTTTCGTTTACACAAAAGTTTATAAATTTGTAATGTTCTACTTCCAGGGTCGACATAGTAGACATATATAACCCTGTAGGATTGAATTAAGACTAACATTTTTATAGTCCCAAATTGAATTCCACACAAGCACTACTAGTTATCTATCAGCAGTTCTTTTCCCTCGTTATCACCAAGAAACAAGTCATATACTTGTTTTACATAAAACTTGTTTAATATATAAGTTGTGACTGTTTAAAACATTCTTAGTTTAAAATGCTTACACAACAGGTATCTTTGCAAGTAAAAACACTATTTATTTCACATATTTTGTTTATCTAACAAGTTTGATACAAGCATTGTATACTACATGTTTTATATGTATGTAAGTCAACAATTGATAAATTCATATTGCTGCTTTGCTGAATAACCACACAATCCAAAATTGCTAATTTTACAGGGTAGGTATTTGCAAATCAAACAAAATATTGTCACAACTTTTTTAATATTTGAGCAGTAGAAAAATGTAATGTTTAAATCAAATGGACATAAATCAAGGTCTAGTTAAAATCTTAATGTTTGTGTTCATGGCTTCAAATACCACAATTATTTAATAAAAACTGTGGTGTTCGACTTATCTTACATTATTATAAATTAGAGCATAAATAAAAATGTTATATTTGTATAGTTCTTAATTTTTATGTTAGAATGACGTAACTACATATTAATAAACACTTATTTTTTTCTGCAATAGTAACATACCTACAATAGGGATAATTTTGATGAACAGTTTGTTCATAATCAAGTCAATTTATTGGTTTTATGAAGATATCATTGAAATGATCTTCTCTGAAGAGTAACATAATATATAATTGGTTGTAGTAGGTAGTAGTATATTATGCTTATTAATATTAGAAACAGAGAAAAACAAATTGTGGAAAAGGATTTTTATAAAATTAAAAAATGCTTCCCTACAAAGTATAATATAGTATAAAAAATAATAAGATCATAGTAATTATCCACATTGCAATATTTTATTATAACAACTTATTGTCTTTAACCTCCTTAAAAATAATATGGCAACTACCAGAAAATCCATCTTTTCAGGTATACTAGTCTTGCCATAAATATTGTTACAAGGAAAAAAATCTATTGCATAAGTAATTTATTATAACTACTTGCACACTTCGCATAATAGTTGATACATTAATATAATAACATCAAAAATATATGAAGCTCCTTCAAAATGATCACCATTGACCTTTTGACAGTCCTTGAAAACATTGAGGCCTGTTATCAACAGAAACATGCGCTCTCTCCATGGGAAAATTCTTCAATGCCAATCTTATGGGTTGTTTTGAGTTTTTTCAAATTATCATGGCATTAGAGTATGCCATACAATTTAAAATTTTATGATTCCATGACTGGAGTACAAATGTTTGTATTTATTTTGGCTGGTAACAGTTGGCCAGCTGTTTGTGTGATGAATACAAAGATTTGTACTCCAGTCATGCATGTTAAATATGTATTTATATATGTATCAGTGTATGTATTCTGTCCGTTATCCTAGTATACCATAACACAAGCCTACAATGCTTACTTTGGGGCTAGGCTATATGGTGTGAGTGTTGAAAATATTTATTATGATTATTTATTTTTCATGAGAATTTTGACCTGGATGTGTAGAATGAGTAATACCAACTAGCGAAAGTCAACTGTTGCTCAAAAATGGCGCCGTAAATCAACCAATAACATAATGACATATTGGCGCGCCAATACGCCTATATTGTCAATATCAATGTGAGTCTTACTCACTATGAAATAAGGACATTTTTTTATCTTGCTTGTTTTTGATAATTAATAAATATGCTTAATTTTTAGACCCTCTCTCATTTTATTACGTTATGGTTACATTGGGCTCACAACTTACCATCTCCTTTTCTTTCTATAATAGAAATATCTTTTGATTTTTATTAAAAAAAAAGATTAGGTAGAACTAACACAAATCCTATGTGTAGGGAATAATACATAAAAGTAATAGAATAATAAAAAACCTCCAAATAATAAAACATCAACAAACAACATAATGTCACAGGGAGGCCAAGTCTGTTTCCGGATAAATCAAAATTTAACCTTAGGCTGGCCTTACAGTATGAATCGGAATATGGATTCATAATATGAATTTATACACCCGGTGTCAAAAAAATTGCACCTCTTAAAAAATCTACTACAAAGTACTTTTTACTTACAATTAATGTTTGATTTTATTTGTAAGGTAGGTATTGTATTTTATTAGAACCATTAAAAAAAGCAGAATTAAATAAGAGACAAGTACCATGAAAATAATACAGAACTTATCTAGAATCGAAAACTTGGTTTACTGTATTGAAATATTTATAAGAAAATTACCTTATGGTGGGTGTCAGGTATTAAATTGACTGAGAGTACATAAAAATCTGATCATGGCTGAGTTAGGTGGTGAAATAATTTTAGCTATATCAATTTTTTTTTATTTATTTGCTGAATTGAAACCTGCCTAAAACAGAAAGTTAGATGAAATATGTTCAAACCCATTTGCTTATTGGTGATAATCACAAGCACTAAATAGATTTTGGGTTTTTGGATTTTTTAACAATCTTTCATGGAGTGCGTCCTTTGGTCAACGTTAATTAATATAACAGAATTGTTCCAGAACATGCATTGTACATAGTATGTTACATGTCAATCAAATGTTACAGAATTGACAATTAAGATTAATTCAAACCAATAAGCAGTTGGTATGCTTTCAATTGCTTCAGAATTAAGCTTAGAATGACCCTTGTTGTCTCATTCATTACTCAATATTGATTTAATTGAATGGCTATAGTTAGACTACTGGTTATCTTCAGAAATTTGTAGATTAATCCCATACCAGAGGATGATTGAGAAAAGGCATAATGCGGCAGTAGGGTATTTGACAAGTTTTAGAAAATGATCTTTCGTTATTTACTAATGTTTATGGAGTATATTAAAAGTGAATGTTTTCATTCTGTTGTGTAATTCAATAAAAAAACGGAATTTAAAACTAAATTTTCAAGTTGCCGCGAATTCGTTTCTCTGGGCATGGGCGACTCACTAGTGTTTCACGTTCGCGACTGTCATTAAAACGTCAAACGATACAATGTAATGCCGCTTTGGCCAGAAGCATACTAGCGTGTGACGTCATTTTAGTCTTGGCCAATCCCAGGCAGTTTCGGTCACATGACCATGGAGCAAAAAATTATTTCTATTTAATGATTTTATACAAAAGTTATTAATTATTTCTTCTTTCAGAATAGTAAAATCGCTGCTAATATTCATATTAAATACAGATACTAACAATAATTGGTACATTATTTTTCGTACTGTCAAATAGCCTATTGTGCTAATTTTTCTGATAGCAATGACCATTAATAATATTTCAATGGAGCATAAGGAGAAAGACAAGAGTAAAAGACTATTTACTGAAAAAGGGATTTCATAAATAAATGAATAAATAAGTATTTCCAACACTCACCAATAAGCCTAGCCCCAAAGTAAGCACTGTAGGCTTGTTTTATGGAATATTAGGGTAATGGATAGAATTCATATACTGATACATATATAAGTATATTTATATAGAAATACATATTATAAAACATCCATGACTGGAGTATTTGTATTCATCACAAACATCTGCCCCCACTGGGATACGAACCTGGGACCTCTCGAGTTGGCGACATTTCAAAATAAATTAAGATAGGGTATATAAATGGAGGACAACATGTCACCCACAATTGCCTACAAATTAGAATAGAACCCAACCAGTGCCAAAAGTCAATAAATTATATAAATTTAAAATATAAGAAAAGTGCTCTGCTAAGTGTAAGCTACACTTCACTTTCCCCTTCAAAGCTCAGTCATTGTGACATAATTATCTCTTTTCCTTTATAAAACGAAAGAGAAAAGCAAAAGTTACACAATTAGGTCTCAAGATAGACACGAACTATAAAGCTGATGATCGAAGCTAGCTAGGGAAGAGAGGTAGGCCATAGCGGATTTTCCGCCCCAATTCGAATTTGGTAGTGTTATGTTTCTGTTGGTGAGTAAGGTGCTAGGTCTCCATGGGGTAGGTAGGGGATTGGGTCTGGTGAGGTCGCGGAAGATTCCGTAAGGGTTCCCGTGGCCTCATCCAGTGCCGTTGTCTCAATCACGCTGGTTGGGACCGTGGACCTAGTGAGGTGAGGGGCATCTTCAGGTTTTTAGTGGGTAGCCCCCCTCCCTCCCCCCCTGGGCGGTCGCTGAGCCAGTCCCAGGACTGACTGAGCGGACGGGCAGGACGGGTCGGGAGGAGTTCCACATAACCCCGTTGCCACTCCCAGGTGGCTGGATATGCGTCATGCATTTTCCTGACGAAAAAAAATAAAAAAAGGGATTGGGTTAAGTAGGCAACGGTGCGAGTGATATGTTTTGTATCGCAAGCGTCTATTGACTATGGTGGCCGCTTACCATCAGGCGGGCCTTGTTTGCCACCTTTTTAGCAAGAAACAAAGGATCTAAATAAGTTAAATGAAATGAGTTTATTCACACTGGTGGTCCACACTACTTCCATATTTAAAATCAACTATATACATCCCGCAACACACGTCCACACCTGTCGACTTTATTTATAAACTAAATGTTATCCATAGTAGAGAGCATGGCAACATGTATCTGACACAATGTTTTATCACATTTGTTTATAATCTGTTTCTAAACTATATACAGAGATGATGCAACATTGTGAAACACTGT